AGATCTACTACCTTATTATATGACACGAGGTTGAGTTGTCAGGATAATGACTATCTAGCACATGGACCTAGAGGGATATCATGTGAAAATCTCAACCTAAACATTAAAATGTTTAAATTATATAGATGGACAACATAAATACTTTTATTTATTATGAAAATATTATATTGTGGATGTCCATTCATTGCTCCGTTATAGATAATCTTCCTGAAGAAGATTATCCATTTAGTACGCTGTTAAGTTTATCTACAAGCAGCTGATGCAGGCAGGTTGCAAGCAACTCAATGAAATGATTTGCAACAACTTCTTATTAAACAGACATGTTGCAAGTAACTCATGCAGACAGCTTACAAGCAGCTAAAGAAAAGCCTTGCAGCTGCTTCCTGAAAAGCCTCACAGCTGCTTCCTTTCTTCTATAAATAGGGGAGTTTTCAGTTCATTATGAACATTAGTTTGAAGTTGAATAAAAATATCAATCTCCCTCTATATTTGTCTTCGATTTATTTACTTTACATTCTTTATTTTATAACATGTTATCAGCACGAGACTCTGCCATTTTGAGCACTTACATAGAATTTAATTTCTATTTCAGTGTTCATCTCCGATGTAAGGCGACACTCTTATGTCCGTGGTCAGATCTTATTCATTCCGAGCATCATAAGGCAGATTATATCCTTGAGGTGGTGAGTTTTTCTTCTTGGCAGTAGTGATGTAGATATCACTTACATATGGAGTGGCCAAATTTGCATAATTTAATTTGAGCCTTTTGCTTATATTTTAATATCTTTATCATCGCTTGCTTGGTTATATGTTACGTATACAGTACCTATTTTGGTATTTGTTTTCATCCTAATTATCTTAATAAAGGATTACAAAGTGGATAATATTATTAGATCTACTTAAACTCCGGTAGAGTTTGCAAAAAATATACAACCACCAGAAGTGGTTATGTTTCGTATATCTCATTTTAACTAAATTTTGTTAATCACCAGAATTGGTATATGCCTATGACCACCAGAAGTGATAATTTAGGCTTTCTATAGTTACAATTAAAGATAAGCTAGAGAAATATTCTCTATATTATATGCACACCTCGATTTGCTCCTGAAGTAGTAAATATTTTAAAAAAGGTTGAAGCATCACAATTTGATGTGATTAATGCGCGTTCAGATAATTATATTCGATTTTCTGAAGGATGAGATTTTTTGATAAATATTAATCAATTTCCTGAAGTGAATGTGATAATATTAATAAAGTCATAAATATGAACGCGTTCTTGATGTAAATATATTACAATTCACCTCCAGAAGAGTTAATATGATTGAGGGAATATATACTCAATATTTCATATTTTAAATTTGCTCCTGAAGAAGTAACACAATTGAAATTTCCTCCTGAAGTAGGAAAATATTATGAAGAGGTGTTTTTTTGTGCTTAAACAATTGTCTTTATATTTTTTTTATTTGATTATGATTTTCTCTCATGATACCAGAAGTGTCTGAGCAATATTTGATAGTACAAAATGTATCAAAAACTCCTGAAGAACTAATTGTTTGTCTAGAAGACATGTGACACCAGTAGTGTCCGAATAATATTAGATTGTGGATAATAAATGAAGTCTATCGAAGAGTTTATATATAAATATGTCATTCATATTATATGATTATGGTCAAAACATATGTTGTAGTAAACCCAAAGTTTACTGATACAAATAGCTATGATATTGAGACCACAAATGATTGGAAGATTGAAAATTTTCATGTTTCCACAATCATAGGTGTAAAATAATATGCATGTAAGAAGTTACCCGCCTTATTCTTCAATTTGTACTATATCATGTATCACAATAAACCAGAAGTTTACTAATGCAAAAACAGTCACAGTAAACCAGAAGTTTTACTGAGGCAAAAGTAGCTACTGTAAACCAGAAATTTACTGATACAAAAGTAGCCACAATAAATCAGAAGTTTGCTGATGCAAAAGTTTATGCCATAGTACATCAGAAGTTTACTTAGAGATAGCACATGCCATGATAAACTTGAAGTTTTCATTTGCCATTTTTAAATGAGCTATTTGACAATTCAGATAAGCATATATTGATGAACTAGAAGATTCTTCAAGAATTCTCTTGTGTTGCTTGTTTTCATAATAAATTGATTATACCAGCTAAAGTTGGGACTAAAATCCCTAAATTATGGAATATATAAAAGGTGAATATGGGCTCATTCACCTATTATGTGAACCACTTATAGATGCATATATGAGATGGTTACATATGTATTTATTGTCAACTTACAGTTTGGCATTTGAAATTGCCTTTCTCAAGTAAGAGCATAATTTTCAGTTTATGGTATCAAGATATTTCATTTTGATGATGCTCGTTTATATCCAAACTAGTTTATCATTAAATACCTCCTATTAATGGCTAAACTATTGCTTATGAGAACAAAGCCTCATGTGTTGGTCTAAGATTTTCTAAATTGCATACAGCAACACTTGTATGCATCATACCAACAAAATATGATAAATCCTCCCCTCACAATTGGTTTAGGATCAGAAACCAAATATTTTTACTATCTAATAACTTTTGATGTGTGGTATATGATTAAATTCTCTACCACAATGCACAAAGATAAGTTTTTCAAAGAAGATTGTGGATATGAGTTAGTTTTTCTAACATTTAGGAGATGGAATAAACAGCTGGAAAATATGCTATATGAATTGAATTATCATTAATATGATCCTCACTTAGAAGATAATTCAAGCCAAATGCCAGAAGCATTTGTTGACCCAAAATTAAATATTATATTTCAGCTGCAAATGCTCCTATTAAAATTAAAGTCCCTGAAGGATAAAATTTACTGCACGCATGAAGCGTAGTAAACCGATCGGTTCCAAAGGTAACAATCCTTGAAAAATGATAGGAGCAAATGATCAAAATAATCATAATGAGGAGGAAATGAGCTCTAGAAGAGCCCACGAAATGACATTTCATGAAACTCCAGAAGAAGTTCAGGTACCTGAAAATAAAGAAAGTGATGAGATCTCAACAAGTTATGTCGCTTAGGAACCGATACAAAATGATCATCGACGATATATTTGATACAATATAGTGTACAATATTGTGAGGATCAGACCTGTAGTCCAGACACTTGAAGATGTCATGCTATTTAGATGCAAGTCATAACCTATATGACTCATTTGATCAAATTTCTATAAAGATCCCTGAAGGATTTAAAATGCTTGAAGCATATAATTTAAAGTCTCGAGAAATGTACTCAATCAGATTATAAATTTTTTTGTATGATTTAAAACAATCAGGGCGCATGTGGTATAATCGTCTCACTGAATTGATGAATGAATGTTATATAAATAATGGCATTTGTCCATGCATTTTTACAAAGAAAACATCATCAGAGTTTGTTATACGTGCTGTTTATGTTAATGACATACATCTCATAGGAACTCCAGAAGAGCTCCAAAGGGAATTTTTTTGTCTTATTCTGCAAATTGAATATTTAGCAGACGAGATATTTATCCATCAATATGTCTATACAGAAAATATATTAAAACGCTTTTACATGGACAAAGCGCACCCATTAAGTACACCAAATAGGTGTTCGATCACTTGAAATGAATAAGGATCCGTTCTGACCTCCATAAGAAGATGATGAACTCCTTGGTCCTGAAATACTCTATCTCAGTGAAATTTGTGTACTTATGTATTTTGCTAATGCTAACAAAGGTGGTGCAGATCATATTGATTATGCAGATGCATATTATTTATCTGATCCCCATAAAGTTCGATCTCAAATCGGGTATGTGTTTACATGTGGATGTATTGTCATATCATGACGCTTCACTAAGCAATCTATTAATGCTACTTCTTCAAATCATGCTGAGATAATAGTTATTCATGAAGCAAGTAGGGAATGCATATGATTGAGATCAGTGATTCATTTTATTCGAGAAAAATTTGGGTTGGAATGTGATAAAACAAAAATCACAATATTATACGAGACAATGTTGCATGCATAGCTTTGTTAAAGGGAGGATTTATAAAAGGAGATAGAACGAAGCACATTTCACCAAAATTATTCTACACACATGATCTTCAAAAAAATGGTGACATCGATGTGCAACAAATCCATTCAAGTGACAATCCAGTAGATTTGTCCACTAAATCTTTGCCAATTTTAACTTTTGAGAAGATGGTATACAAGATTGGTATGCGGAGACTCAAATATTTAGAACAAAGTTTTCATCAAGGGGAGTGAAATACGCATTGTACTCTTTTTTTCTTACTAAGGTTTTTTCCCATGGGATTTTTCTTGTAAGTTTTTTAATGAGGCAGCTAGAAATGCATATTACTAAATATGTGCACTCTTTTTCCTTCACTAGATTTTTTCTCACTGGGTTTTTCTTAGTAAGGTTTTAATGAGGCACATTATCTTTTAATGAACATCCAAGGGGGAGTGTTATGAAAATATTATATTGTGGATGTCCATTCATTACTCCGCTATAAATAATCTTCCTGAAGAAGATTATCCATTTAATATTCTGTTGAAGTTTATCTACAAGCAGCTGATGCAGGCAGTTTGCAAGCAACTCAATGAAATGATTTGCAACAACTTCTTATTAAACAGACAGGTTGTAAGCAGCTCATGCAGACAGATTACAAGCAGCTAAAGAAAAGCCTCGCAGCTGCTTCCTGAAAAGCCTCGCAGCTGCTTCCTTTCTTCTATAAGTAGAAAAAGTTTAAGTTTATTATGAACATCAGTTTGAAGTTGAATAAAAATATCAATATCCCTCTATACTTGTATTCGATTTATTTACTTTACATTTTTTATTTTATAATATTATTTTATTAATTAATACATTTAGTTTGTTATATAAATTACTTTTTATCTCTTTAGGGTTATCAATTAATGTTTGTTTAGAAAATTATCTGCAAACACCTTTTAAGTAATCAAATGGAATTTAACTTTTGTAGATGTACAGTGTGAAATTTATTTTAGCCAATCTGACTAAATTATGCGGCCGTTTAGACATAACAATTGGGTAGGGGACGGCCATGGATTAGATTCTGTATTTTCGGTCTAAAGATTTACTAAAAAATCATCCCTTAATTCTTTCCTTCTCATCAACCCTTAATTCATCAAATGGATACTCAATTAGTTAGAGGAGAATCATCTACATCTTCTCACTTCTCTTATGAAGTATTCCTGAGTTTTAGAGGTGAAGACACCCGAAAAACATTCACTGGTCATCTTTATTCCAAATTGTGTGATGTTGGAATTAATACCTTCATTGATGATGAGGAATTGAGAAAGGGTGATGTGATTTCAAGAGAACTAGAGAAATCAATTGAAGAGTCAAGAATTTCCATTATTGTTTTCTCAAGAAATTATGCTTCCTCTAGTTGGTGTCTAGATGAACTAGTTAAAATTCTCGAATGCAAAGAGAAATTAAAGCAGATGGTTTTGCCTATTTTCTATGATGTTGATCCTTCTGAAGTGCGAAGACAAACTGGGTTATTTGGGGAAGCTTTGGCAAAACATAAGGAACGATCAATTGGGGCTCAAAGGGTGGAGAAATGGAGAGCTGCACTTACTGAAGCTGCAAATTTATCTGGATGGGATTTGCAAAATGTTGCTGACGGGTACATTTTCTTGATTCAGCTATATAATTTCATTTGTTATTTGTTCAGTTGTTTATAGGATGTGAATATGTGATACTAAGTGTTCAAAAGAGTTTAAGTTATATGCATTGACAATATCGAAATATTTACACTATCAATATATACAACTTAAATTATTTCTTAAAGTATCCTATATGACGCTGTAAGTTATCTATTTTGTTGCTTAGATTCATCCCACTGTGTTATGTCTTGGCTATCGATTTTGATTTGTCCGTCAATTATTTTCAAATATCAAAGTTTTATTTACTGGAGTAGTATTTCTTTTAATTTTTTGTTTTTACTAAAAATTTTATAGGCATGAATCAAAGTTTATTGAAAACATTATACAACAAGTCCTACAAGAGGTCAACCAGACGCCTCTAGATGTTGCTTGGCATCCAGTTGGTGAAGATTATCGTGTCAAAGATATAGAGTTGTTATTGCAAAATGAATGTGAAGATGGAGTTCGCATGATTGGTATTCACGGAGTTGGTGGCATAGGGAAAACAACTCTGGCAAAAGCTATCTACAATCAAATGTTTCGACTCTTCGATAGTAGTTGCTTCCTTTCGGATGTTAGATCAGAAGCTGAAGAATTTGGTCTTGTCAAGCTACAAGAGAAACTTCTTCAACAATTACTCAAAAATAAGGACATCAAAGTTGGCAGTATTGCTCAAGGCATCAATCTAATCAAAGCAAGACTCGAGTCAAAGAAGGTTCTAATTGTTCTTGATGACGTGGACCACAAAAACCATTTAGAATCCTTAACAAGAGAAAGAAGTTGGTTTGGTTCGGGTAGTTTAATAATCATTACCACCCGGGACAAGCGATTGCTATGTCGGCTTGGAGAAAAAGAGAGATATGAGGCTGAACTATTAAATGCCAATGAAGCTATGTTACTTTTTTGTTGGCATGCTTTTGACAGTCATTTTCCACCAGAAGATTATGTTAATTTGGCACGAGACATAATCAAATATTCAGGCAGGCTACCATTAGCTCTTGTGATATTGGGGTCACACTTACAAGGAAGTTCTGTAGAAGAATGGGGATATGAATTCGAAAAACTAAGAGCAATTCCTCATTGTGATATCCAAAAGATTCTCAAGATAAGCTTTGATGGACTTGATGATGGAACACAGACTGTTTTCCTCGATATTGCATGCGCCTTCCATGGGTTTGATGAGCATGAAGTTACTGAAATATTAAATGCATGTGGCTTTCATGCTAAAAGTGCAATTGCTACTTTAGTCCAAAAACACTTGCTCCAAAAATCTTGGAATATTTTGGAGATGCATGATCTAGTGTGAGATATGGGAAGAGAAGTCGTTCGCATGGAATCAGCTCGAGATCCTGGAAAACGGAGTAGATTGTTCATCCCGCAAGAAGTTTGTGATGTTCTACAAGGAAATAAAGTCAGTAATACTTTTCTCTTTCCACTTATAATTTCTATTGTTATCATAAGAATTATATTCATTTGTGCTTTCGTCTCTGGTTAGTTATTTTTTTCTTATTTGTTTGTCAACCCTTGCAAAATAGAAATGGCATTTCAAAACTCTAAACTCACACCAAAGGCGCTCTCTCTCTCTCTATATATATATATATACACACACACACACACACACACACACTCTCTTGCGGGCATAGACCATATTATCTCCAATATTAGTTATTGAAAGATGTTTGAATTTATCTTCTTCTTTTTTTCTCAATTCATCATTTTTTTTTTATTATGTTCTTACTGACTTTCTATGCTTATCTAATTGCGGAAATTAAGTTTTCTCTCGAAGAAATTAGGCATGTGCGCTTTTGAAAACTGTTGAATAGGTACATATGTGGAACATTTATGTTATTATTTCTAGAACAATATATACAAAATATTCTTTTAAATATAATATAATATATATTGTATCTTTAATTGATACTATTATCAGGCTTCAGGATGCAATTTGTTCTCTTTATTTATGTATTTTTCCCATTGATATTACCATGTGAATTTATTGAATGATGCTAACTAGTTTTTGAAAGACTCTCATCTTAGCTTTCTGAGCAATTTTACATTCTTTTTTAACATCCTCTAATGTGTAAGTTCATTTTTCTTGATACATATGGTGTAACCTCTTTGTTTGACCTTCAATTAGTATAAATTTTTTTCCCCTCTTAACATGTGAGACCTAAGATGGTCTTAAGATACTAATCTTTTCACCGAACTACAGGGTTCCAAAAAGGTAGAAGTACTGAAGGTAGATCGACGAGCATTTGAGGGAGTGAACTTGAGCACCAAAGCATTTAAGAAAATGAAAAACCTTAGGGTTCTTATAATGGATGAGTTACATATTAGTGGAGATTTTGAGCTGTTGTCCAAGGTGCTCAGATGGTTGTCTTGGAAAAAATGTCCTTTAAAATGTATACCATCAAATTTTCCAGCTGAGAATCTTGTAGCTCTAGATATGCAGGAGAGTGATATCCAAGAATTTCAATTGAATTTGCAGGTTTGTTACTCAATTTTACAATTTCATGTGTACTGTTATTGCCACTGAGTGAAAGAAAAGGTTAATTGAAACTATATTTGGTTTACTTTTAGTGTTGTAGAAGTTTGAAGAAGTTGGATCTCTCTTATTGCAAGCAACTCAGAAGGACTCCAAACTTCAACGGTTCACGAAGTCTTGAGACTTTGCTGCTTGGTGGTTGCTCAAGTCTGACAGAGATCCATCCATCAATAGGAAATTTGGACAGACTAATTAAACTAGATATGTCTAGTAGCGAAAAAATTACGTATCTTCCAAGCAGCATATGCCAGCTAAAATCCCTTGAAGACTTGGACGTTGATGGCTGCTCATCTATAAAAACACTGCCAGATAACCTTGGAGATATGAAAAGTCTATTATGTCTTTCTGCATCTGGTACGGGTATAAAACAATTGCCTAGATCTGTTGAAATGCTAAGAAATCTTTTAACTTTGAGAGTGGGAGGTCGAAAGAGAGAGGCCAAAAGGAGTATTTCTGGAAGTGGAGTCCATCGGATACAATATTCCTTGTCAACTTTTGTATCCGAATTGAGCCTTACATACTGTAATTTGTCCGAGGCTGATATTCCTAGGGATATTGGGAGCTTATCCTCCTTAGAATATTTAGATTTGAGTGGCAACAGTTTCCATTGTCTACCCATTGATTTTTCTAAGTTAGGATTATTGGCGGAGTTGTGTTTGAATGACTGTGAGAATCTTCAAACACTCCCGTCAGTATCAAATTTAGAGAATCTTGCAATTATTGAACTTGAAAATTGCCAAAAATTGGTCAAGATTACAGAGTTGGACAACCTCCCTTCTATAAAGCGGATCTACATGATAAATTGTAGTTCTCTGCAGAATCCATTCAATGAAGGCTTCTTTAGTGCACCTGCTGCATTTAGAAAAGATCCAGATATGGTTAGTCTCTCTCTCTCTCTCTCTCTCTCTCTCTCTCTCTCTCTCTCTCTCTCTCTCTCTCTCTCTCTCTCTCTCTCTCTCTCTCTCTCTCTCTCTCTCTCTCTCTCTCTCTCTCTCTCTCTCTCTCTCTCTCTCTCTCTCTCTCTCTCTCTCTCTCTCTCTCTCTCTCTCTCTCTCTCTCTCTCTCTCTCTCTCTCTCTCTCTCTCTCTCTCTCTCTCTCTCTCTCTCTCTCTCTCTCTCTCTCTCTCTCTCTCTCTCTCTCTCTCTCTCTCTCTCTCTCTCTCTCTCTCTCTCTCTCTCTCTCTCTCTCTCTCTCTCTCTCTCTCTCTCTCTCTCTCTCTCTCTCTCTCTCTCTCTCTCTCTCTCTCTCTCTCTCTCTCTCTCTCTCTCTCTCTCTCTCTCTCTCTCTCCTATCATATTAATGATCTTGAGTCTTTATCCGATGCAGGATTGTTTAGAAATTTATCTCGAATGCAATGAGATTCCAGAATGGTGCAGGAATCAAGTAACAGCTTCATCTATGTGTTTGACTATGCCGACACATAATAATGAGGAGTATAACTTCTTAGGAATGGTTCTCTGGTTTGTTTCCGACTTTTTGGATGCAGACCCTTCTTCAAGCTTCTCGATTAGTATTGCCCATAAAAAGAATTTAATTGATACGTGGAATATACCTTATGAACATAGAGAAGTATCATGTGTATATTACATAAATGAAGCTTTTGATGGCCAGATGATTAAAGGCGGGGAAATGATAGAAGTGTGGTCTGAAGACATTACAGTAAAGAAGATAGGGATCCATCTGTTATATTTAGACCAACATGGTAAAGTTATATCTTTGCCGGGAGAAGTGGATCATTCTTATTCTAAGTACCCAAAAAGAGTTTCTTAGTTGGTCAGAAACGTTTTAAATGATAGAGTATTGTTTAGCTTGTTCGGCATTGGATTCGTCTTGTTCGAGGTAAGTAACATCTCTAATCTTGGAGCTGAAGGTATGAACCCTGATTATACGTGTTATGTGAATTGTTTGGAGGTGACGCACATGCTAGATGACGGGCGTGTGGGCGTGCACCGTAGAAATTGAGACTCGGTTGATTTCGTAGAGCTGTATAGTCAATTAACTTGTATTTTTCCATGTATTTTTATGTGTTAGAGAAACTGAGTTGTGACTCATGTTAGAAATCATGTTTAGGCAAATGTTGGAATTATCGGGACCCCCTGAGGTCATTTCTGGTGTCAAATTATATGTTTAAATTGTAATTTCATATTCAGTCATATTCATTCATTGCATATCATATCTCAGTCTCTGTTGTTATTCATTGATACATCATATCATTATTTTGGGCTAGTTTCATGACATTGTGAGCCCGAGAGACTGGAGAGATTGATGACTGAGTGAGGCCGGGGGCCTGATTGTGAGGATAATTATGGGATCGGGCTGCACGTTGCAGCAAGCCATATTGGCTTTATATAATTTATTATTATGGGATCGGGCTGCACGTTGCAGTAGGCCAGATTGGCTCATTATAACACGTGAGTTGTCCGTACGGATCCAGAATTGATACTATAGTACGTGAGTTGTCCGTGCATCACGTGAGTTGTTCGTGCAGATTATAGCGTTTGGGCTAAAGGAGCCCCTCCGGAGTTTGTATACACCCCCAGTGAGCGCAGGTACCTACTGAGTGCGAGTGCCGAGCGATTGGGAGGATTGAGTGATTGGGAGGATTGAGTGAATTGATACTTTGAGAGTATGCATATAGTTTTATCACTGAGTTGCATCGCATTCGACATGCACACTTGACATACAAGCATAGTGATGCATTTTTCCTTATGTTGTACGGTATCACGTCATTCATGATTTCTCATACATATTGATATGTAGGCTTAGAGATGTATTTTCCTCGTGCCATTTGAAAATGAAACATTTACCTGTTGAAAGCTTTGAGAAAAAACAGAGATCTCAGACTTACTCGTACTTCGGTGACTTTCGGCAAAAGATTTGAGTTTTACTGTTATATTGAAAAGAAAATGTTTATTTTTCCGGAATTTTATACGAGTTGAGCATTTTATTATTGAGTTATTACTTGTGCTGCCTTAAATTGTATTGTTATGAGATATTATTAGTTATTGGAGTTGGACTCTGACCCTTGTCCCAGCTCGTCACTACTTTCAACCTAAGGTTATGTTTTGTTACTTATTGAGTGTATGAGGTCGGTTGTATTCATATTACACTTCTGCACCTTACGTGCAGATTTTGGATGTTGATGCTGTTGTACATGGCGGGAGCTGGATCTGAAGATGTGCCTACGTTCCAGTCATTGCTGCCTCTTGTTCATGGTAACTTTAGAATTTTAATCTGTTCATGTATATTTCAAACAAATGATGTATTTTTATTTCACACCAGATGTGTAAAATCTATTCTTAGAAGCTCATAATTTATACTACCAGTCCTTGGGGAGTGTATTAGAGTCAGTTAAATATTAATTGAATCGGATATTTATAAATTGGCTTATCTAACGGGTTGAGTTAGGTGTCATCACGGCTAGTTGAATTTTTGGATCGTGACATTTCAATTCCTAGAAGGAAGCACAATCATGAACTGTACTATATTTATACTACCTCTTCGGTAAGCTCTTGTTTAATTTTATTCGGTTAAATTTATGGATGTTTCAATTTGTAATAGCCTAAATTTTCTAAACCTCTTTATTTTATTTCAAAATTTAACTAAGAGAATTCGCCAAAGTCCTATTTCATTACTCTACAAGAGAATAAAATCAAGGTTTATGTATAGGTCACAGTCTAAGTCCAATTTTGAAGTCTTTGTGTTGATAAACTCAAAGTCGTTTGTGTGGGGTTTGTTTAAGTCTTTTTCTTTTAACTTCTTTCACATGGTTGATAAGTGAACTGAGAGAATTGATCAAAATTCACTAGTAATAAATATTTTCATTCTTTGAATATGGAAACTTTTTTAAAAAAGAAAAAAGAAAAAAGGAAAATATGAAGGTTTCCACTTAATTTCTACCATTTTCTCCTACAACACGTTGAATGCCAAATTGACTTACGAAGAACCCACAAGTAATTTCTTAGAAAGAATCATAATCATGAACAGTACTGTATTTATACTCCCACTTCAGGAAGCTCTTGTTTAATTATATTCAATTAGATTTATGGATATTTCAATTTGTAGTGGCCTAACAATTCTGAACTTCTTTTATTATGGTTATGCAAAAGAGGAACTACCTAAAAAATATTTAGGGAAATTTCCATTTTCTTTCGGTTGACCCTTCTGCAGGGTTGTAAATAACTTGACCCAAAAATAATACTTCTTCTGTAATATTGTTTAACCAGACACAAAATTTAACGAGAGAAATGAAGATTTTTGAAATATATGGTCTAAAATAAGTATTAAATATTGGTGGTGATTATAAATTATCTCATTAAGATTAAATGAGTATTTTAAAGTTTAATTTTTTTAAATATAAAAAAATAATATTTTTTTAAACGAATTAAAAGAGAAAGTGTGTTAATATAGGAACAAAAGAATTATTAATGAGGTAGAGTGACTTGGGTAGATAGCTTGCTGGCAAGTAAAAGGCCAAACTTCTAACCGTTATCTTTTTATTTTATTCTTATTGTAATGATTTATTGTGTGACTTGTTTTATATCACATGTTTTAAAAAAATTATTTTTATTTTAAATTTCATATTTGTAAAAATACCATCATATAAATTTAGACGGATAAAATAAATGAATTTTGACTTATTCTTTCAATTCACTTGCCGATAATATAGAAGCGATTCAAAGAAAAAGACTTTTGAGATGCAAAAGAAGAGAACCCAAAAACTTGTAGAGTGTTTGCACTCAATTTCTATCAAGGCAAGTTGTATATACTATCAATACTAAAAAATCCAAAAGTAATTTTCTAGAACAACTCACAAACCTTGAACTATACTTCCTTTTCGGTAAGCTCTTGTTTAATTTTATTTGATTAAATTTATGAATATTGTTTCAATATGTAATGGCCTAAAATTTCTAAAGGAATTCACAAAATTCCTATTCATCACTCTACAAGAAAATATACTCAAGGGTCATGTATGAGGTGCAAATTCAGAGGTGTATCCAAGATTTGATGATTACGGATGTCACTGCTTTTAATGCAAACCGACCACTAGTGACGAGATTGAATATAGGTGTACATTACGTTAGTTTGATCCATTTTAAATTAATTCTGTTCAACCCATCTTAACCTTTTTAGATAAATCCATTTTAACTTTTTTAGATGTACAGTATGAATTACAGTGAAATTTATTTACACTATAAGACTAAAAATTTTGTACAAAAAAGACATCTAAGAAATATGTACAAGAATTAAGTTTCCAACCAGAAACCACAAAGCCTAAGAAATATCAAGGGAAACTTCCATTTTATTTCGTTGTGCTTATATGTAGCTCTGCTTAGCTACTTTCCCTTTACTGAAAAATCAACCCTTAATTCTTGCATTCTCATCAAATCAAATGGATACTCAATTAGTTAGAGGAGAATCATCTCACTTCTCTTATGAAGTATTCCTGAGTTTTAGAGGTGAAGACACCCGAAAAACATTCACTGGTCATCTTTATTCCAAATTGTCTGATGTTGGAATTAATACCTTCATTGACGACGAGGAATTGAGAAAGGGTGACGTGATTTCAAGAGAATTAGAGAAAGCAATTGAAGAGTCAAGAATTTCCATTATTGTTTTCTCAAGAAATTATGCTTCCTCTAGTTGGTGTCTAAATGAACTAGTTAAAATTCTCGAATGCAAAGAGAAATTAAAGCAGATGGTTTTGTCTATTTTCTATGATGTTGATCCTTCTCAAGTGCGAAGACAAACTGGGTTATTTGGGGAAGCTTTGGCAAAACATAAGGAACGATCAATTGGGACTCAAAGGGTGGAGAAATGGAGAGCTGCACTTACTGAAGCTGCAAATTTATCTGGATGGGATTTGCAAAATGTTGCTGACGGGTACATTTTCTTGATTCAACTATATAATTTCATTTTTTATTTGTTCAATTGTTTATCTAATTACTGTAAATTTGCTGATAAATATTACTCCCTCTGTCCCGTCTATGTGTCATACTTTCCTTTTTAGTCTGTCCCAAAAAAATGTCCACTGAAGCTCCTATTTGGGTTTGAAAAGGTTGTAGGTTTGAGGTTGGACCTAGACGATCTTTTTTTGAGCATTTTTGAGCTAGCATTTTTGTTAAAAATTTGAGGCCAAGGAGATACACCTCCATTGCTTATACGATGTGATAGATTAAAGCTACCTATGAATTGTTTATACAATTTTATGCAACTCTTCAACCTCTTTCCAGCAATTTGAGAAGAAACCACATTGCAAGAAACAAAAAATTATTAATGGAGGATAAACGCATTTTGTCTTAAAAAAATCACATTGTACACACACACACAAAAAATGAGGACTCCAAATAGAAATAGCGATTTAGTCTCCTTGAGGAGATGGTTAATACAGTAATGGAAAAGGCCTTTGTTTTAGTTGAATGAGAGAATGACTGCAGTTAAAAGAGGTGTAATTTGGGTAAAAACAAAATGGGTACCTTGCTAAGTTACTACCTTTATATAATTACACTTGTCCAACCAAACATGACAGTGAAAATTACTTGGTAATTATGTTGTGGTAAACAAGCAGGTCATTATAATTATTATGTTGTATAATTACTACACTAATAATTACACAACCAAGTAATTATGCATGGCTTTCGGCATAGACTTAAAGAGTTTAAGCTCTATAAATCGACCGTATCAAAATATTTATACAATTAGGTCTCTTATTATATGACTACCGGTAAATTTTCTGATAAATATAGTGAAAAAAAATCTTTATACTATCAATATATATAACTTCAATAATTTCTTAAAATATCCTATATGAAGCGGTAAGTTGTCTATTTTACTGCTTAGATTCACCCCACTGTGTTATGTCTTGGCTATCGATTTTGATTTGACCATCAAATAGTTTCAAATGTCAAAGTTTTATTATACTGGAGTATTTTAACTTTTTGTTTTTGCTATAGGCATGAATCAAAGTTTATTGAAAAAATTATACAACAAGTCCTACAAGAGGTCAACCAGACGCCTCTAGATGTTGCTTCCAGTTGGTGTAGATTATCGTGTCAAAGATATAGATTTGTTATTGCAAAATGAATGTGAAGATGGAGTTCGCATAATTGGTATTCACGGAGTTGGTGGCATAGGGAAAACAACTCTGGCAAAAGCTATCTACAATCGAATGTTTCGACTCTTCAATAGTAGTTGCTTCCTTTCAGATGTTAGATCAGAAGCTGAAGAATTTGGTCTTGTCAAGCTACAAGAGAAACTTCTTCGACAGATTCTCAAAACTAAAGACATCAAAGTTGGCAGTGTTGCTCAAGGCGTCAATCTAATCAAAGCAAGACTTGGGTCAAAGAAGGTTCTAATTGTTCTTGATGATGTGGACCACAAAAAACAATTAGAATCCTTAACACGAGAAAGAAGTTGGTTTGGTTCGGGTAGTTTAATAATCATTTCCACCCGAGACGAGCGATTGCTATGGCAGCTTAGAGAAAAAGAGAGATATGAGGTCAAACTATTAAATGACAATGAATCTATGTTACTTTTTAGTTGGCATGCTTTTGATAGTCATTTTCCACCAGAAGATTATGTTAATTTGGCACGAGACATAATCAAATATTCAGGTAGGCTACCATTAGCTCTTGTGACATTGGGGTCACATTTACAAGGAAGTTCTGTAGAAGAATGGGGATATGAATTCGAAAAACTAAGAGCAATTCCTCATTGTGATATCCAAAAGATTCTCAGGATAAGCTTTGATGGACTTGATGATGAAACACAAGCAGTTTTTCTTGATATTGCGTGTGCCTTCCAGGGGTTACTTGAGCATAAAATTACCGAAATATTAAATGCATGTGGCTTTCATGCTAAAAGTGCAATTGCAACTTTAGTCCAAAAGCACTTGCTCCAAAGATCTTGGCATGGTTTGGTGATGCATGATCTAGTACGAGATATGGGAAGAGAAATTGTTAGCTTGGAATCAGCTCGAGACCCTGGAAAATGGAGTAGATTGTTCATCCCTCAAGAAGTTCGTGATGTTCTACAAGGAAATGAAGTCAGTAAATCCTTCATCTTTATCTTGGTTATATATTTTTTTCTGTTAAATTGTTTCTTGCTTATAATTTTTGTTGTCATCATAAGAAATCATTTGTGCTTCGTCTCCGGTTAGTAAGTATTTTGTAGTTGTTTGTCAACCATTGTAAACTAGAAATGACATTTGCTAAATTCTTAACTCACACCAAAGGCAAAAACAAAAACAAAAAATCACCTATTTAACAATTATCCAAATTTGGTGATGCATATTTCTTATTGAATTCTTATAACTAACATGCTTATGGGCATAGACCATAGTATCTCCATGATTAGTTATTCAAAGATATTTGACTTTCCTTAACTAAATGCGGAAATTAAGCTTGCTCGAAGAAATCAGGCATGTGCGTTTGGAAACTGTTGAATAGGTACATATGTGAAACATTATTTCTAGAACGATATATACAAAAATGTTCTTTTAAATATATTCAAATATATATTCTATGTATCTTCAATTGGCGCTATTATCAGGTTTCTAGATGCAATTTGTTCTCTTTATTCATCTTTTTTTTCCTTTGATATTATCATGTGAACTTATTGAATGCTGCTAGCCAGTTTTGAGCAATTTTAAATTTGTTTAACATCCTCTAATGTGTAACTTCATTTTTGGTGATACATGGTGTATTCTCTTTGTTTGTTCACCAATTTGTATAAAGCATTTTTCTTGCTTAATTTTTGGGACTTAACATGAGCTTAAGTTACTTTTCTTTTTACTGAGCTGCAGGGTTCCGAAAATGTAGAAGTACTGAAGGTAGATCCAGGGACATTAAAGGGAGTAAACTTGAGCACCAAAGCATTTGAGCAAATGAAAAACCTTAGGGTTCTTATAATGGATGAGTTACATATTAGTGGAGATTTTGGGTTGTTTTCCAAGAAGCTCAGATGGTTGTCTTGGAAAAAATGTCCTTTAAAATGTATATCATCAAATTTTCCAGCTGAGAATCTTGTAGTTCTAGATATGCGGGAGAGTGATATCCAAGAATTTCGATTGAATTTGCAGGTTTGTTACTCAATTTTACAATTTCATGTGTACTATTATTGCTACTGAGTGGAAGAAAATCTTAATTGAATCTATATTTGGTTTACTTTTAGTGTTGTAGAAGTTTGAAGAAGCTGGATCTCTCTTATTGCAAGCAACTCAGAAGCACTCCAAACTTCAATGGTTCACTGAGTCTTGAGATTTTGGATCTCTGGTTGCTCAAGTCTGACGGAGATCCATCCATCAATAGGAAATTTGGACAGACTAATTAAACTAGATATGTCTGATTGCGAAAAACTTACGGATCTTCCAAGCAGCATATGCCACCTAATATCCGTTGATTAATTGAGCATTAGTAACTGCTCATCAATAAAAACACTGCCAGATAACCTTGGAGATATGAAAAGTCTAAGATGTCTTTATGCATCTTATACGGGTATAAAACAATTGCCTAGATCTGTTGAAATGCTAAGAAATCTTGTAGCTTTGAATGTGGGAGGTCAAAAGTTAGAGGCCAAAAGGGGTATTTGTGGAAGAGGAGTCCATCGGATACAATATTCCTTGCCAACTATTGTATCCGATTTGAGCCTTACATACTGTAATTTATCCGAGGCTGATATTCCTAGGGATATTGGGAGCTTATCCTCCTTAGCATATTTAGATTTGAGTGGCAGCAGTTTCTATTGTCTACCCTTTGGTTTTTCTAAGTTACGATTATTGGAGAAGTTGAGTTTGAATGACTGTGAGAATCTTCAAACACTCCCGTCAGTATCAAATTTAGAGTATCTTGGAAGAATTGAACATAAAAATTGCCAAAATTTGGTCAAGATTACAGATTTAGACAACCTCCCTTCTATAAGGTGGATCAACATGATGAATTGTAGTTCTCTGCAGAATCCATTCAATGAAAACTTCTTTAGTGCACATGCTCTATCATTTCCATCTAGAAAACATATCTATACGGTTAGTCTCTCTCTCTCTTTCTCCCTCCTAGCATATTAAAAATCTTGAGTCTTTGTCCGATGCAGTATGATTTAGAAATTTATCTCCAATGCAGTGAGATTCCAGAATGGTGCAGGAATCAAGTAACAGCTTCATCTATGCGTTTGACTATACAACAACAACAACAAAAATCCAGTATAATCTCACCAGTGGGGTCTGGGGAGGGTAGTGTGTACGCAGACCTTACCCCTATTCTGGGGGTAGAGAGGCTGTTTCCGATAGACCCTCGGCTCCCTCCCTTCAAGAACTCACCACCTTGCTCTTGGGGTGATTCGGACTTACAACCTCTTGGTTGGAAGTGGAGGATGCTTAACTCTTGTCAAATAAGGAGTATAACTTCTTAGGAATGCGGAACGCTACAGTAAAGAAGATAGGGATCCATCTGTTATATTTTGACCAATATGGTAAAGTTATATCTTTGCCGGGAGACGTGGATCATTCTTATTTTAAGTACCCAAAAAGAGTTTCTTAGTTGGTCAGAAACGTTTTAATTGATATTGATCTTTTCCCAAATAGTAAGGCGAAAGATGTCAGGAATTGGCGGGAAGAAGAGATTCTTAGTTGAAGAACCCAAAAAGAGTTTCAACTACTCAATCCTCGATCAAATTGTATTTTATATTACAGTATTAATAGGTAGTTGGTCAGTATTCCTTTTAAAATTGTTCGAGTAATTCTAGTAGGAGAGTCATAATTTCTTTTTGAAAAACCACTGCTTGATATGCTGTTGAAATGAAATAAATTAAATACCTTAGTGGCATGGAAATTTTGTTCTTCCTCTGTTTCTTCCTTTCCCATAATTCTGATACAAAATTAAGTCAATAATATAAAATGAAATCCTATTCTTGCTAACCTTCTTTACCAAATTATGATCTTTTCTAGACTTCCTCGCTTATTAAATTTATTATTTTTCCTCATCTCCTTAATGAGTTGCAGTTTTAGTGAACTTCCTCCCTCTCGGGATAATGTATTAACATTAATAAACAACTTTCTTACTCTCCCAAAGAAAGTGACATCACTCTCTTCTTCCACATCAGCACTAAGGGGTCATTTGGTTGCCGGTTAGAGTTATGCAAGTATTAGTTATTTAGGGATAAGTTATGCATGTATTAGTTATTTAGGGATAAGTTATGCATATATTAGTTATGCAGGGATAAGTTATGCATATATTAGTTATGCAGGGATAAGTTATGCAAGATTGAGTTATGCATGGATTAAATATATAAGAATTAGTAATATAAATATAATGTGAGTTTTATTTATTATTAGTTTACTTTATTTTATTTAAATTGTTAGTATAGTTTAAATATATATTTTTAAACAAAAAAATACAAGTTTGAATAAAGGGTATTCTTGTCATTTTGTATTTTAATACAAGTATTAAAAATACATGTAAGTTATTTCACCTTCTACCCTGCATAAATAATATATAGATTCCCTCGTAACTTGTACATGTATTAGTTATGTGAAAAAGAAAAACATGAACCAAACATTGTATTAGCAAACAAACAATGTATAAAGTTATCCTAGTTTTAATATATGGATAACTCCTCTCTAACCGGCTACCAAACTACTCCTAAGGGTATACTAATTTCATTTAAAAAAAGTTTAGGAGTAATAGAATTCCCGCAAAGATAAAGTGTGTAGTTGAAAATTCGGTTATAGACCAGAGGTGCCTTTATCGTTCCAAATAACTTACTAGAGAAAAGGAGCGGATGTCAAACCTCCTTGAAGTTTCCAAAACTACAAAATCTATCAAAAATAAATTCTGCGAAAAATCCTAGATTCCTTGTTGTTATCCAATGAAATTATTGGCAAGTATAATTAAGTACATAAAGAAATATCAACGTTAATATTAGTAGCTAGATCGTGCAAACTAGTTAGAACGTCATAATTATAAAAAAACAAAACAACAAAATAAATAGCTAGCATTGAAAGAAATAATTTCATCCACAAATCACAACCACATGAACACAACATCATAAGTAGACAGAAGAAAAAAACATAAAATTCATAGTCACCCTTTTTTTATATATCATTGATCACCTCTACAACGATAATACTTAGAACAACCTCTATTATACGGATTCGACGGCGGCGGAAGACAGCTTCGGGAATACGGTTCGCCGCCACCGCCGCCGTTACAAACCGGCTGATCTCTTTTCAAAGCTCCAGGAGATATATACTTTTTTCTTTCTTCAAGAAATCTTCTACTAATATCAGACTCCATTAATATCTCCAACTCTTCGTTACACTCAGCTATTGTACCGTTGCATGGCGATTGGCCTGTTACGGAAGTGATTATAAATAAAAGCGTCAGAAAAAGAGTGAAGAAATAGAGGATTTTTGTGAAAATTACAGCTTCCATTTTTGGTTTTGTGTGGATAGTATATTTGGTTCAATTATTTGTAGCTGTCCTTATAGTGACTTTATTTTGCTTTTTATGATAGTGGAAGACACACTAAGAAGCAGAGGGACCGCACTAGTCCACCAACCAAAACCTAACTTTTATGAAAATATATTAATTTATAAATATGATTGTGAGCTTTGAAATAGTTTAAATAAATAGTTGTGAGACAATTAATAATATGATCTATGCAGGAAAATAATAGTAATACATTTCTAAGAAAAGTATTCAAAGTTTTGATTTTTTTATCAAATTTGATTAGTAAGCTTTGTGATCTTAAAGATGTAGTTGAGAATAGTCATTAACCAATCATGTATAGGACGTTGGAAGTTGATTGGACGCCCTATCAACTTGCAACTAATAAGGAAAATAGCTATAAGCTGGTCCGCTTTTGATACTATTGTAGTTTCAGACTTTTAGATAGACATTCTAATAGCTACTAATCAAATAGACACCTTAACTCAACAAAAATGTGTCTCTTATTGCATGTATGTCATCGCATTCCTCGGGAATTTGAAACAAATTTTGTATTTTTATTGTAGCTAAAATAAAAGTGATCGCATATATTAAAAAAAAAAAAAAAAGTTATCCGGTACACTAAGCTCCCGTTATGCACGTGGTCTGAGGAAGAACCGGACTACAAAAGTATATTGTACGCAGTGTTACCCTGTAATTCTACGAGAGGTTGTTTTCACTCGAATAAGTGCTCACATATGATTAGTAGAATGTGAAACCACCATTTTCTATGAGACATGCCATCCTTGCCTACAAGGTGAAGCATTTTCATCATACTCAGCAACAACTCCATCTCTTTTTCCAGTTTTTTCTTCCTGTATTTGGCCTCTTATCGTTGTCGTTCCACTTATAGACGATTACTCCAGTTCCGTCTAGAGATTAACGAATAGAAGCTAGAAAGTCAAGTGACTCACTAATCATGCATCAATCTCACACAACTGATTAATTTGCCACATTAAACACCACTGAGAAATGTCTTCTATTCACTTCAAAATATTGTATTTTTGTACTCTTTAACTAAAAGATTCAGCACCGAAATAGCAAATGAAAGCAACGGTACTAGGATTAAGGGAAAGGGTCCATATAAAGGAAGATTTTTCAAATAAGGTCTGTGTACACGCTATTCTCTCCAGACCCCACTTGTGGGATCATGCTGGTTAATATTGTTATTATCCTGTGTGATAAGGACAAGAGTCACTTATCTAGATAAAAGCTGACTATACCATTTAGAGAAAGTGACAGGACATCGTGGCAACTCAACTAATTCACCTAAATCTACTATCTATGTTGCTCGAACTCTCTAAAAATGCAGTCGTACCTGTCTCGGATCCTCCAAAAATGCAGTCGTACACTTTTGGAGGATCCGACACACATCCTAGGGCATTTTTAAGAGTGCAAGCAAAATGTACATAGCTCCGCAACTTAAAGATAAATGAGTGGACAACGTGGTAACTCAAACAATGGTATTCACCTAAACCTATGGTATGGCTATAGATCCAGACCAAACCAGAACGCATACGGTGGCAATTCTAGATATCCAAATGTACGGAAGACCTATATTGTTCGTACTCTTCAAAAATACCGTCGGTTGTGTCTCGAATTCTCCAAAAGTAGTGCATTTTTGGAGGTTCCAACACGGTTGCAGCAGCATTTTTGAGAATATGAGCAATATAGCGGCGGACTACCTCTGGAAACTCCCATGCTCCTATTTGTCCCTAAACCTATTCTCTCTATCTATGTTCATTCCTCTTTCTTCTTCACATACATTTCCAGTTTTCTCTAATAACCTCAATCACTTCAAAGTTCTCTTTTCAGCTTCTGGCATACAAAATTGCAGCAGATTCAAGACAATTGTTTTCCTTCATATGACAAACATGTTACTAGACGCTATACAACCCAGACGTTTTATCCTTCTTTGACTTGCTCTTCTATAACTTATATGTTGGTCGGAAATGGTATCTTTTGCACTTCTAATAATGTACAAAGAAATATCTGAATACTAGGAGTAGTTGCCTGAACACTCTGCCTCATAATTATTAGTTTTGTTTAAGATTATCCCCTTTTTTCTATATATTCCAGATTCATCTACTCAACACTTTACTTTCATTTTCAAATGAAAGAGACAACAGAGGGATAAGACGGCCGCGGGTTTCTTACTGAGGCGAGCGAGGTTCATTGATTCTTTAAAATATATACTTTGAAGAAGTATTAGCAAAATCAATGCGACAGACTAAAAACTTCTTTTACTAGAAGACCTTAGGACTTCTTATGCTGCTCAACTTCCCCATAAATATGCAGAGCCATAACCAGCTATGCTGCTTGGACCCTCTAAAATGTTGCCGCACCTTTGTTAAATCCTCCGATATTTTCGAACATTGGATGATCCGACACACCTGCAATAATATTTTTGAAGAGCTTGAGCAACATAGGTAACCAGATAAGCTTTTCCATTTTGGGAAGAAAAATAAAATAAAGTGAATCGAGCACCTAATTGGTAACTAGAAACTTATGATAAGACATATATTTACGCTGGTGATGCAACACAAAAACATGGGAAGAAGATGCAATAATCATGCTAATGGTGTGGAATAGTTCCTAAGGACAATCTCATCCTAAAAAGGGGAGCCTTGATGTAACTAGTAAAATTGTTGCCATGTGACCAGGAGGTTATCGGTTTGAGCTGTGGAAACAACATCTTGCATAAATATAGGATAAAATTGCGTATAATAGACTCTTGTGGTCTGACTCTTCCCCGTACTGTGCACATAACAGGAACTTAGAGTATTGGGCTTTAGAGTATTGGGCTGCCCTTTTTACAACCCCATCCTATAGATGTAATGAAGGCAACACTAATTTGAAAGGATTATTTTGAGCTATCACTGTATGTGCCTATTATAAGAGACAAAATGGTCCTTCGGACAAAAGGAAAAATTTTGGACAAAAGTGAAGTTCCAAAGTATGCCATCAAATCACTCATCCGAAGTCGTTTACCCAAAAGTCAAACTTTGATCAACTCTTACAACTTAACCTTTCAACAACGGAACAAAGTGTTTCAATTCACTCCAAAACCTTCGTGGTACCTGGGAAGTATTCAGCTATTTTTCTAACCATTTCTATTTCCTACCAAGAAACATAACTCTTATCACATATTCTTTATACAGAGAAAATAAAACACAGGAATTAAGCAGCAAAATCAAGAATTGAGAGAGGATAACTACCATTGATGTGGCCGTGGAAAAAGCAGGCAATAGGAGAACGGAAAAGGGTTATATTTGTCCTTTTACTCTTCAAAAAGGATTATATTTGCCTTTCTTTATACTTTTTTGATATATTTATCCTTTCCGTTATACTTTAGGATCATATTTATCCCTGTACTCTTCAAAAATGGTTACATTTGCCTTTCGTTATACTTTTTTGACATATTTATCCTTACAATTCTACTTTAGGATCATATTTGCCCCTCATCCATTAAATCGCCATGTTCCACCTTTGTTTTCCTACATGGCGCCTATGTGAATTTTTTTTTCTTTCAATTTAAATGTGGTCACTTATTTAAGATAATTTAACTCGCTCACTCAATTTAACTAAGACACACTAACTAAAATAAATGAAAATCCTAATTCCCAATCCCCCACCCCTCATCCATCTTTCTTCTCCTGATCAACTTTATATTTTTCGAAGAGCGAGAAAATTTTGGACAGTGAGTGAATGAAACTATAGTATAATCCCTAATTGATTTATTTAATTATTTCACCTTTGTCTATGTTAATTTGTTTCCCTTTAATACTTAGAAGTTAGGAGACATGAATCACTTAATGATGTTTTGAAGTGTTTGTAGAGATATAACTCTGTAAAGTCTAAACTGGGTCAATTGATCATGATTGATCCACGAAAAGTAATTTTCTGATACAACATTTACGAAGATTGTGCGAAATACAATAACGATATAGCAGCGACAACATATTGGCAAACAATAACTTTGAACTCAAAATCACTAATCTAATACAACTCACAATTATTGCAGTAACCAAAGTATATTACGAGAAGTTGCACAACAATGGGGTTAATGAAGTCTTATTTAAATTGGGTGGGAGTTAAATTATCTTAAATAGGTGATCATATTTAAATTGGAAGAAAAAGAAATCCACATAGGCGCCATGTAGGAAAACAAAGGTGGGACGTGGCGATTTAACGGATGAGGGGCAAATATGATCCTAAAGTATAATTGTAAGAATAAATATATCAAAAAAATATAACCAAGGGCAAATGTAACCCTTTTTGAAGAGTACAAGAGCAAATATGATCCTAAAGTATAATGGTAAGGATAAATATATCAAAAAAGTATAACGAAGGGCAAATATAACCCTTTTTAAAGAGTACATGAGCAAATATGACCCTTAACCTATAGGGGAATTATCTCCGTTGCCTTCGGGCCTTGTGGGTAGTCCCCTTTGCTTTATCGGGCTCGAACGTCCTTCAACTTAAATAGTCAAGTGTTTGTTTTAATTCGAAGAAATGAGTAGTTTTGCTCGAAATAATGTAGTCCGTAGGCGTAATAGTCGAGTGAGTGATTGCTCGAACTCGAAATAAAGGTCGAGTGAGTGATTGCTCGAACTCGAAATAAAGGTAGCCCGTAGGCTTAGCAATCGAGTGAATGATTCGAGCTCGATGCAATGTAGCCCGCAGGCACAATAGTCAAAGTAGCCTGTAGGCTTAATGGTCGAGTGAGTGATTGCTCGAACTCGAAATAAAAGTAGCCCGTAGGCTTAGTAGTCGAGTGAGTGATTCGAACTCGATACAATGTAGCTCGTAAGCATAATAGTCAAAGTATCCCGTAGGCTTAATGGTAGAGTGAGTGATTGCTCGAACTCGAAATAAAGGTAGCCCGTAGGCTTGGCAGTCGAGCGAATGATTCGAACTCAATGCAATGTAGCCCGTAGGCGTAA